ATAAGTAAAAAATTGATGATGTAATTAACTCAGAATATAAAATTTAAAGTATAAAATAATTGTTAAAAGACCTTTATTTATATATATAATACTATGATAACATATGATAGATCAATAAAATAATGGTTTGCCAATTTAATTTAGAAATATTAGTTTAAGTACTTTTGCTTATATTCTAGAATCTTCTATATTGTAATTGTGCTCTCTATTTTATTCGATAAATAGAAGATATGAATATATTTGTTTATAAAATCCCATTTAGAACTAATGATCGATATGGTTGCACTAATGACCGTGAGAAGAAATTATATCATAAATTATTATTTGATAAATTAGAAAAGTGAAAAGTGAAAACAAAAAATTTGAAATTCACTTTTGATTTCACTTTATTTTTTTTTGTAATATGAGCTACTCAGATCATATTTAAAAGTTTGAGAATGAACAAGAAATAAACTGAGAAATAAATTAATCCACAAATTTATTACGTATTAAAAATAATTTATAAAAAACTTATAAAAATTTTATTTAAACTTCAATAACATTTTGATGGCTTAGGTTTTCTTCATATAAATATATTAAAATACACACTTTTTGCTTTTAAATAAATATTTGGAATCAAATTCCAAAATTTGTCTTTTTCCAACAATCCCTTGTAAATTAAAAAATTGCTAATAATATTCTCTATTTTTAAGATTCGATCTTATTTATATTATTAAAAAAATGGGAAATATTTTCAGTAATTCTTGCATAGATTGTCCGAGAAAAAATTAACCTGATTTAATAATTGAAAGGATATTAGAATAGGAATGTTTACATTGGAATACTATTTAAAATAGATTTATGAGGACTAAATTCTTTGACACTAAACCTAAGAATAACGTAATATATTATATATCTGATAGTGGATCAATAATGAGGATGTAATAGTTTATATATATAATATGAAAATAAGCAAGCAGATAAGAGATCAATAAATCTCTAATAATTTGAGATGCTTTCTATAGAACATATAAAACAATTAAATGGATAAATTAATATGAAAATAATTAATAAAAAATTGGAACGAGGAAAGCATTTTGGTAGGTTGAAGTTTTAGTTGGTATAGGAGGATCATTTAGAAGATGAAAATTAAATCAAATATAATAAGATTATACTTAGAAGATGGAAAAAATAAGGATAATGGCATCAACTATTCTCAAACTTCTCCAAGAATAAAAAATTTTATTTAAAGTGGAGAATATTTAAATGAGAATAAATGTTTATTATTTTATTAATGGATTGAACTGTTCAATAACTTATCAAAGTTAAAGGGTTGATAATAAAATTTGGGAAATGGATTGAAAAAAATATTAAGTTTGATAAATTAATAAATTATATAGACTAATTTTTAGGAGCAATTTTATCATTTATAAAGGAGTGTATAAAAATGGTAAAAAAGTTTGTAGATGGCATTTATAGATTAGAAATTCTCTATTCTAGAAAAGCTATGGCATTAAGATTAAGATTGGGAAATTGATTGAATTGGATGATGGATTTCATTCATGAAATTAAATGTCTTATCATGAAGAATATCAAAATTGTAAAAAAGTAGGAAGATAGAATACTGATTAGAATTTATATTTATAAATTTATAATTAAATGTAATATAAACTTTTTTAGAGGTGGTGGATAGTATGATGAATTAATTGAGATTATTAAAATTGGGAAATGGATTAACTTGGAGGATAGAAATGATTCATCAACATTAATAATATTTTTTTGGCGAGGATAAACACAATGAAATGCGAGGCAGATGGGATTATATGAAAAGAAAAAATGATTAATGATTTAAATAGATGTAAATAATTTAATAATATGATTAATAAACTTTTTTAGTGGTGGGGGATTAGATGATTTAGGATGCTGTAAAATTGGAAAGTTGATTGATTTGAGTGAATCAAATGCTTTGTATTTATTTAAATGATTCCTAATTTTTAATTTATTCTATTTTTAGTCTAAGCTGATCAAAATTTAAGCATTGTAAAGGATACATAAAGAAGTAAATTATTTTCTTTTGTTTTATGAGATCACCTAAAAAAATTGTTACTTATATTTAGATGCATTATTGGAATATCTTATTGTAATAATAAATTAATTAAACAAATGAATTTTGCTTAATACTTATCAGTCAAATATTAATTTTCTTAGCAATAGATTAATTAACCAAATTAATTTGTCTATCCAAACAAGGATAAATTTATTTGAATTGCTTTAGAAATATTTATCAAATAATAATACCATAGATAAAACTAAGATTGTTGATAAAATTAGTTAATAGAATGAGTCTATTTTATTCTGAAAGTATTGATTATAAATATATAATTAGTTCTTTTTTAATTGATTTCTTTGTGTTTATATTTATTTATTAATAAAGCATTTATAGAATTAATATTATTAATGTATAAAGGTAATTTAACGATGTTCTAACTAATCTAAATCAATAATTGGAATGAAGGATTAATTTTGATTTCTTATTCTAAAGTCCAAATAGATAGTTTCTGACCTTTAATATCTGTATTCTATACATTTATTATGAGTATTTTTCAGTAGATTCCTATAACTTTTCATATATTTTTTCTTTGATTTTGGAAAATAATTATAGGGACTCAAAACCAAATAAATTAAGATTAAATCCCGCTTAGGAATATTAAAGATTCCCTAAAAAAAATTTTTATTTCAATATGTATTTTTTAGTAAATTGATCCTTTTGAAAAAGAATAAAAAAATTATATAAATAAAGTATTCTTCAAATTATCAATGGTTTTTTTATATACATTATCTTTTATTTTTAGCAAACAAAAAATCTAATCATATTTTATAATGTTTTATTTGGTAATTCCTTTATTTAAATATTAATTCAATTCAATTGAGTTAAAATTATTAATGTTTTAATTAATTTTATGATTGACATAAATCTAAATTATTATGTTAAGCAACAGCATTTTTGTAGTCATTAATCAGATTTATATTTATTATCTAGAAAATCTTGATATTATTTAATTTATTATTTTAGATTTATTTTTGAGAGCTAAATTCAAAATTATTTTAACTATTCAGTTGATCTAAAATTTGATTAACATTTTATATTTTGTTATTAAATCTGAATTCTGATTAAACTTATCTACTTAAGATCTAAAAACATGATTCTATTAATCATATATATTATTTTTTTGGTAATATATAAAGATCATATAAAAGATAAAAGGTATAATTCATACATCTTATAATGATATTCATTATTATATTTTTGTAATTTCTTCAACAAAAATGATCCCATCTAAATCTATCAGTTTGAATTAGTAATATATGAAAATATAATTTACAATAAAATGACAATTAAATTTTGTTGATGAGAGACCATATTTATAGTCTTTTAGCATTTTTTAATCTTAAATCCTTAGTTTATGTGTTATTATTTAATTAATATGAAAGAAACTAATTATTTGCTCTTTGAATAAATTATTTCATATTTAGAATCAATCTAGATTAAGTATTGCTAACAATTTTATTATTATATGAATGTCTATTCAAAAATAACATTAATAGTTTTTTATTCTATAATATATATCTTATAAATGATATCATTTTTTCTTTTTACTTTTACAAGAACTCAGCTTTTTAGAACTATTTTTAGATTTTGAAAATAGTGTTAAATGTTTTAGAACATAATCTATCTTTTTATATTTAACATTACTTCTACAGTTTTTTGCATACACATGTTATGGATTTAATTCTATGGCCTTTTCAAAGAACTCTAATGATTTTCTAAACCCATTTAAATGCAATAGGGTTTTAGCTTATCTATATTTGATAATATACCTTTTAGATAATAAGCTTCATCATTGCTAGGATTAATTTGAATCATATTTTCATAACAAGCTAATTGCTCTTCATAACGGTTTATTGCACCTAATGATGCACCTAAAAATTTCAGTTTAAAGTTACCTTTATTTAAGAGTAATAACTCTTCAGTATAACGATCTGGATCAAGATTAAGTATTTAATTATAACACGCTATAGCTTTTTCAAATTAATAATTGTCTTATAAACTAAAACCTAAAGCTTACAATAATTTAACCTTTTTTCAAATAATATTTGCTATTATTTGGATTGAGCTTAATAGCTTGATCATAATATGAAATAGAATCTTTAAATTATTTTAATTCATGTAAGAAATTTGCTATTTTTTAATTGTTGTATACCTAGATTAAAATATGCAGATTCATTATTTGGATTGAGGACAATAGCTTATTAAAATGAAGCTGAAGCCTTCTCAATAAGACTCATTTCAGATAATGCACAACCTACAATATATGCTTTTTATACCTTATAAGTTGTAGAATTAACTGTTATTTGGATTTAATTAGATTGCCTTATTTACTAATTTAATGCATTTTTCATATTGATTTAAATCATATAATGCTTATACTAAAATCAATTATTTTAATACTTTTATATNTCTAAAAACATGATTCTATTAATCATATATATTATTTTTTTGGTAATATATAAAGATCATATAAAAGATAAAAGGTATAATTCATACATCTTATAATGATATTCATTATTATATTTTTGTAATTTCTTCAACAAAAATGATCCCATCTAAATCTATCAGTTTGAATTAGTAATATATGAAAATATAATTTACAATAAAATGACAATTAAATTTTGTTGATGAGAGACCATATTTATAGTCTTTTAGCATTTTTTAATCTTAAATCCTTAGTTTATGTGTTATTATTTAATTAATATGAAAGAAACTAATTATTTGCTCTTTGAATAAATTATTTCATATTTAGAATCAATCTAGATTAAGTATTGCTAACAATTTTATTATTATATGAATGTCTATTCAAAAATAACATTAATAGTTTTTTATTCTATAATATATATCTTATAAATGATATCATTTTTTCTTTTTACTTTTACAAGAACTCAGCTTTTTAGAACTATTTTTAGATTTTGAAAATAGTGTTAAATGTTTTAGAACATAATCTATCTTTTTATATTTAACATTACTTCTACAGTTTTTTGCATACACATGTTATGGATTTAATTCTATGGCCTTTTCAAAGAACTCTAATGATTTTCTAAACCCATTTAAATGCAATAGGGTTTTAGCTTATCTATATTTGATAATATACCTTTTAGATAATAAGCTTCATCATTGCTAGGATTAATTTGAATCATATTTTCATAACAAGCTAATTGCTCTTCATAACGGTTTATTGCACCTAATGATGCACCTAAAAATTTCAGTTTAAAGTTACCTTTATTTAAGAGTAATAACTCTTCAGTATAACGATCTGGATCAAGATTAAGTATTTAATTATAACACGCTATAGCTTTTTCAAATTAATAATTGTCTTTTAACCTTTTTTCAAATAATATTTGCTATTATTTGGATTGAGCTTAATAGCTTGATCATAATATGAAATAGAATCTTTAAATTATTTTAATTCATGTAAGAAATTTGCTATTTTTTAATTGTTGTATACCTAGATTAAAATATGCAGATTCATTATTTGGATTGAGGACAATAGCTTATTAAAATGAAGCTGAAGCCTTCTCAATAAGACTCATTTCAGATAATGCACAACCTACAATATATGCTTTTTATACCTTATAAGTTGTAGAATTAACTGTTATTTGGATTTAATTAGATTGCCTTATTTACTAATTTAATGCATTTTTCATATTGATTTAAATCATATAATGCTTATACTAAAATCAATTATTTTAATACTTTTATATTCAAGAGCTTCTTCATTTTTTGGATTTAATTTAATAACCTTATCAAAAAAAGAGATTGATTCTTTAAATTGTTTATCTTCCAATAATGTAATTCCTTTTCTTAAAAAAGCCTTTTCTAAATTTTCATTTTAATTCTATATTTTATCATCTTCTTAAATGTATTTCCTTTAACGTTTCAATTATTTTAAGATTTTACCTTTTCAATTATGTATGATTATACTTTATAAATCTATAGATTTTTTATTAATAGGATCTATCTCTAAGGCTTTTTTTTTATATTTTAATGCCTTTTCTAATTGATTTAATTTATTTAATGAAACACCTAATTGATAGCTGATGTGAATTACTTTTCAAATAATAAGCTTAATCTTTTTCTGGAGCTAATTCTATTGCTTTGTTGAAATATAAAATGGCACCTTCATAATCCTTTTGCTCTTGTACTTCCATACCTTATTTATATTCTTATCACAATTACCATAGTCATTAATTTAACTATAGTCACCAGATTCATGCAGTCCTACTGAAAAAGAGCCATCATCAAATTCACTTATTTCAGCAGCCCCATTTATTTTCTCTTTTGGCAATAATGTGTATTTTTCTCCTTTTTATTTAATATTCTTTTAAGTTTTTTTTATCTTTCTAATCTTTTTGGAATTTATCTTTATGTCCCTCTTACTTTTAGTTTTTTTCATTTCTAATTATTTTTGAAATGTTAAATCAGATTTTTTAATAATTATAAATAAATTCCTATAAAATTCTGATATTTATATAAAACAGATGATACCTTTTAAAATTATTCATCACAGAAAGTATTGATAATTGAAGATTAACAAAAAAGTTCAATCATTTATTTAGCCTAATTCTATTATCAATTTCAATATGAATGATAATATTTATTTATTTAAGAAAATCATTAATTTTACAGATATTTCGGTTACTTTTCATTCTGTTGAGGATAATCAAGTTCTTCCTCTTGTATAGTTCTAGTCTAGAAATTTTTAGACATTTGGATAATCAATCACTCTAATAAATTTTGATATTTTTATGTTATTATCCAAATATCTAAAAATTTCTAGACTAGAATATCTTGAGGGCTAGGTCAGTGGTTTCAAAAGTTTTGGCTGCAGATATCGGGGGAAAAACCTCTAAGTATAATTTTTTATGCATCTGGTACAAATGCTTGGTGTATGACTTCAGATTTTAAACTCTTTTTGACAATGCCAAAGCTTTAAAGTAGCTGTTTAAGTACTCTAAGAAGGGATTTTTTCAGTTTCTTTTTTTAATTTATTATCCTATGTTTTGGGCTTATATCGTTTTGGCTCAAGTTGTTACTAGAGCCTTAATATGTGTTTTCGTGCATGAGAAATGACTGATAATAGCTGTCTAATTCTTTTTCCTGTTAGTTCTAATTCTATCTTCCTTTCCCTTGACTCAACCCAGGATTTAAATCAGGGGATCAGATAATTAGATTAATTTTCGTCAGATATCAGTTTATGCCTTGCAGGATATCCTTGATTCTAGATATTACATAAAATTTGGAGATACTTAGTGCACAAAATTCAGACAGGTTGTCCAGAGTCTAGCAGAAAGTTTATAATGGGCTGTAAATTGCCCTCCCATGAATAAGGCGGGTACTTGAGCAGGAGATCTGATCAAACATTAAATTGTTCAATATGGATGTTTTTCACAATAAAATTAAAGATAAAAATAATATATGATTATATTCATTAAATACAATTTGTTTATAGTAGTAATATCAAATCAATCAAATAATTTAATTGTATTTTTTGCTAATGAAAAAAGAATTCTGTCATTTAAGAATAAAACTTTACGAAATCTTTAATTTAATAATTAATTTTAGAATATATTCTAAATTTTAATTTGATTTGAAAAACATCTTTTTTAAAAAAACATTTAAAATAATTTTATAATAAATTTAAAGCTTCAATTAAGATTTAAAAAAAAAATAATTTTTAGATATGTATTTAACTACATCAACTAATCAAATTTATAATTAGAAACGAAAATGAATTGAAATACATTTTTTAATAAAATATAAAATCAAACCATTAATTTTAGAATAGTTTTGAATATAGATTAAAATATCTAAAAACTTCATATTTTGAATTTTTAATATTAATTTAAAATTCATAATTAATTTACTTTTATATCATTAAATTAAATTTGAGTTCCATAATTCTTTGATATCTTATAAACCTAAAACTCGCATTTAATAACCATCATTCTTTTATTCTTCCTCCTCTTTTACTAAAATATCTAGACATTCTTTTTAAAAATCTTTGGTAAATGGTTATAAAGCAATTTAATTGAACTTATTAATAGTAAGCAATAATTCTTTGATCAGGGAACCACAAAATGTTTTGGATTAGAGTTATTCAGATTTTAGGATTCCATTTATATCAGAAGTAGTATTAATTTCATTTATTAAATTCATTGACAGTTGAATTTATTTTTTTAATTTCTCAATTATATCCATAATTTATTTTCTTTATTCTATAACTTATTTGGTCAAGGTTAAATTGAGAAATTTACTTTTGCAAATTTTGTTTAAATATAGTATTTAAAATTATGAGAAGGTATCATTCCATGAATTTTTAATAAATTCTTTCCTTTCTAAACTTATGAATGCCTAATTATTAAATTGTAACCAAAATGGAGCTTCAATTTTAGGTACTATATTAGCAAAAGGACTACCTTGATATACTGAATTTCCTTTAAAAAGCAAAGCTTATAAGGCTGATGGCTCTTCAAAATCAGAAAATGTAAATAAAAACATGAAATGCTCTTCAGCATCTTTACCAAAAAGTTGTAATAAGCTATTCATAATATAAATTTAATCAAGAGTTAATCTATTTTGACTTGATTTAATTACAAAACAAATAAGACTCAATTATTCTAATTCTTTTAATTAGTCTGATATTCTTTCTGAGATAATTTTATCAAAATTTTATCCTCTTGTGTCTCCAAATCCTGGAGTATCAATTATCCTTAAAGGTGGTTTACCATTTAAGCCTTTTAAATAATAACTTATAACTTCTGAAGTTTTACTAACTGCCTAAGATTATTTGAAAACAGTTTCATTGGTTTCATCAACTAAATAGAACCTAAATGGAACTTCAAATTCAACACCAATATAAAAATTGCAAAAGAAATTTATGAGAGTTGATTTACCAACTCCTGTTTCACCAATAATCATAATTGTTTTCATTAAATTAATATCTTATAATTCATTTTAAGTATATTGAGGATATTTTCGAATTTATAAAGTAACTTCTTTACCTTTTATCTCCTTTAACAAAATGCAATTTTATGCTAATTATTCCAGGTTTGTTTTTCTGTATGATTTTTCCACTTCTTTTGAATTGTTCTAGCCTGGGAGCTCTTTTGAAAGCTCTAATTCTGATTTTTTTTCTATTTAATAATTCTATGGAAAAGATTATTTTTTAAACTCAGTCTATGTTTTAAGATTATAAAAAGTATTAAATCTAAAATTGTTAGGTTGAACATTAAATTATTAAATCTTTAGTTTATTAATGAGGAAGGATTAATCTTATTAATTTTGTAAACAAGGTATAGATTGTGAATGATTATTACTAATAGCTTTAGGGATAAAGTATAAATTAGAAAATTAAGGAGATTAAAACATTGAATGTTAATTAATAGACTGTTACTTCAAAGGAATTTATTGTTAATTCTGAATAGGATTATAAGGTGATGCAAATTTAATTTAGTTTACTTCTTTTTGATATTATGTATTACTTTATGATTAATAAAATGTTATAAATTTGTTATTCTATATTGTTGTCGATTGACTTGTATTTTATTAATAAAACTAATAAGCTTTATCTTAATTAAATACAATTTATGGCTTTGTGAACTCTATTTTAATTTTAAAAAATGGTTAATAGGATTAATTTTCAGGTTTTATTTTCCATTCTAAAAACTTTTAATATGATATATGATAATCAAGTGCTTATTCTTTAGTAATAAATGTTAAATTATAACGAGTAAGGATTAAGTTTTTCTTAAACTTCCATGCTACATTCAAAATCTAATTTTTATCAACTCCAAGTTCATTTTCTAATACACTTATCAATCCATTTACATTTGGATCTTTTACTAATTAATACTTCTAAGTAATTTATTAATCTGATTTCAAAAATGATTCTATGTCTTTTATATGTAATTCATCCATTAATTTTAAAAGTGTTTCATTAGCTATCATTTCATTCATAATGTAGTAGACATATATATACTTATATAAAGCTATTAAATTATTTTCTCTATCACTCAAAGTCTTTTAATATTTTAATTCTAATTCAATAATTAGATTAGAAATAGAAGTAATATTTTATTCATAACAATAATGAACAATAGATTTATATTCAGTACTTTAGCCAAAAACACTTTTTATAAAACTCTCCATCTTTGCTAGATTAAATAAATTATAAACTTGATAGCTATAATAATTAATGCAAAATAATTAATAATTATCATTATTCTACTATTAAACTTTGAGTTAATAGAAATAGATCTATATTAAATATTATATATCATTATAGTACTTCTAAAAAGAAATTCCGAATAGAATTATTTATTTATTTTAAGCTATCTCCTTTTTAAAATACAAGCATTTTTCATAATAAGGAATCAAATATTTAATGAATAATTCAAGCCTTTTTAAAATAAATAATTTTTTGAATTAATATTAATTAAAAGCATAATTAATACGATAATAAATAGCAAATCAAAGTCTTCATCTTTATTTAATGTATCTTAAAATTCATTGAAATATTGTTTGATCTTTTGAAGAAATTTTAAGTTTTTATACAATCTTGAAAACAGTATAACACAAATTATCCAATAATAAAAGAAATAATTTAATGATATTATCAAATTTTTTATTTTTAGAAAACAGAGGCTAGTTGCATTTATTTCGAGTCAGTTTATATAAATAGATGGAAATTTTTTAATTTATTATGATTCTTTAAACTAATTTTTAAATTCATTTTTGATGATATTAATTAGTTTAAATTTTGAAATTAATAATCTTTTCCTTCTAAAGCCTATATTAAAAATAGTATTCTAAAAATTTGAGATGGAATTAGCTCAAATAAAAGAGTTTTACTTACTAATTTTTCCTTCATAAAAGAAGTTAGCTGTTCTTTATTGTATTGTGCAGGCTTTTACTAAAGCAAAATTCTTCAACCTAATCACTTAAACATATATAATTAAATGAAATCGAAATTAACTAAAATAAAGAAATTCATAATAGTTTTACTTAGGATTTGTAGTTAAAAAAATTTTAATTATTTAAGCTTCTTATAATCAAATATATTTAGAGTTCAATTAATGTAGAGACCTAAACCCCATATCTTTGATAAGGATTAAGTAATAAGAAAAAAAAGCGAGACTACAACATTAAGGTATAAATATAAATGAAATTATTTAAAACTGCTACCGGAAATAATAAGAAAAGACAAAATAAGAAATTTAGGAGAATAATCGAGAGATCAGTTGGATTATCTATTCTGTTTACTATGATTTCAACTCCAAAAGTAGGCCAAATTCAATTACTCTAACATTTCCCTATAATACACCTATAAAATGTAAAGGAGAAGTAATAGTTCTTTATTTTTTGGTCTTTATATACGGTTTTACTTTTTATAATATAGAGATCTCTTACCTATTAAACTAGCCCATTGTGTCGCATAATATTTATATGTTTTTAAGATGGGCCTGAGTCATGATATCAATTGTTTATGAAAAATGGACTTACGAATTCAATCAAAAAATGATATTGAAAAATACAACAGCTACTCCAAGAATTGAGAAACTTTTAATAACAGAAATTATAGAAGGAAAAAACTATTGATTTCCACAAAGTTTTGGTGAAATTGGTCAAGCAAACTTGAATAAAAATAGAGCTAGATTAAAATGTTTGATAATTATTTTAAAATGGAGAATATTAATTTTTGGCTGTAACAATTGATCTTAAAAATTATATTTGGAATAATAATTTTAAAAAAATTTTAAATCAGTTACGATCAATTAGTAGATATAAATTCATCAAAAATTAATAGGGATACTATTAAAGGCACTTCTAAAATGCAGGATTTATTAAATAATTTAGATTAAAAAAGTAAACCGATATAGATTGGACATCACCGGAAAAATAAATAGAAAAAGTATCAAATGGACAGTCTCATGGAAAGAAAAATTATGAATATCGCTGGAGGTAAATTAAATGAAACTAATAACCTAAATTGTATAAATGATACTCTGATGAAACAAAAAAATGGTCATTAGAAAAAATGATATTAAAATATTGGAAATAATTTTATCAATTATTTATTAGGAAAACTATAGATATCTAAAAACTTTATTATTTTCAAAAAAAAGAATAATTAACTAAAAAAATATTAATTTCTCCATATAATTGGATTCTTAAATGGCTAATAAGCATCAAAAATTATAGATTATAAAACTGAATCCTAAACTCAAATAATTTAAAGTGAAAACCAAACAAATTTTATCTATATCATAAATAATATTTAAATTAAATCTAAATAATTTTCATTATTCTTTATACCTTCTTATCTATATTTACTTTGATTTTTCATCCCAAGTAATCAAATACTCACCATCATCACTCATTACTCCAAATAAAGAATTAGTTCCAAAGTGAATAGATTATTCAGTTAGCAACTCCCAATTTTATTTTTTCCTTATCAAATTGATGTATTGACCATTCTTACTCAATAGGATGCATTTCCCATTTATATATTGTTAAGGAAACAAACAATTACCATTATCAGATCCAGACTTTATATTAATATCTCTTGTCTTTGTAAACAATTTATTGATAGTATTCATCTCAAAAACAGATATATATTCTTTTTCTCCTTATGAGAATGTGAACATATTATTATCAATAAAGCATACTCGATATCCAAACTAATCAACTTTCATCTTTTATACTACTTTCCATTCTGTATTCTATCCTGATTGTTCTATTATTAATATAACTTTATCATGTCCACATGATACTACTCTATTTTATTATTAATTTAAAACTAATCCATATACAGAACTAGAATGATCAGCAATTGTTTATTAACACAACCATTCATTCTTGTTTATCCAAAATTTAATAGTGTTATCATTACTCCCTGATATAATTAGATCTTCATATTTATTTATCACTAAACAATTGATCTAATTACTGTGTCCATATAATATCTATTATGAACACCATAAATTATTTTATATGTATTTCCATATTATGATAGAAGAATCAAGACTTCCAGATAAGAAATGTTTCGATTTCTTCATGAAATTTAAAGTATATACAAAACTCTTATGTTCATTTAAATTTTAAATTAATTTGATGACTCCTGAGTTGAATTCAAATACTTTGATTGTTGAATAACATCCAGCCACCAATGTTGAACAATCATTATCAATAGCTAAAGCATAACATTAATCACTTTTTGAAATAGAAAATTCTTTTATAATTTAATAATTGAATGGTTTGGATTAAGAATGAGTAGATTTTACAGTTGATGATTGTTGAATATTTAATTGAGTATTTAGTTATTGTATTTATAAAGTTTATTATTCTAATAAGATATCCTTATCATTTGATTTCTATTCCAATTATTGTAAAATTTCTATCATCTATTGTTCACATTTTAAACTCATGTTTATTAAAAGTTCTTTTTCTTTTTCTTTAAGTAATGCTTAATTGTTAATCTTAGATTTGATTATTGATATTATGTCTTAAAAAATCTATTAAAAAATATTATAATCTTCCAATTTAATCTAAGGCAAATTTATTAAGGGTGGAGATCTTTAGATACACTTTTGATATTTATCATTCAGCACATCAAAAATCTCATTTATAAGTGAATCCAGATCAATATAGATATTATTGAATGAAGACTATTAAATTTATAGATTAACTATTTTACTTCAATTTTGGTTTATACCTCTTTGAAGCATTCTTCTATAGCTGTTTGGCAATCCTAATTTAAAAATCCTTCTAATTTATTCATATATCTTTTATTTTTCAAATGTTATTAATAATGAATAATTATTCTATAGTTATCACTAATAGTATATAAATAAGCAATAAATTAAAATTTTATTGGGTTTTAAGAATGATTGATGAAAATAGTAATTATTTAACAAATAGTTTCATTATTTTATCAATTTTTGAAATCTAGTTGCCTATTAATTATTTTTTTATTATTAAAATATAATACTAAATAAAAAATAAATAAATTATAATGTAAAACAAAAATAGTGAAATGATGACATTAGTTGATATAAAGAAAAATAAAAAAACAATAAAAATGATCCTTTGAGTAAATTTTATTAATTATAAAAATTAAAGATTTAGATATCATTTTTAAGGTAGATATTTTAAAATCTTATAAACCTTGCTAATAAATATATGAGGTCAGAGGCACACATTTTTTCCAAAGATGCAACATGCATTTTTATCGCATTGCATCTGGCATCAGCATATGTTACTTCTCTAAGAATTTAACTTAAAAGACTCTGAGATCACTCCTTGTGATGCACCTTAAACGACAGCGGGAACTTGTAAAAAGATTAAATTAAATCTGATATTTAAATTTATATTTGATAAAATCGATTTAATACAAGGATTCTATTTATAATATTACTGATAAAAGAGATTATTTATTAATTAAATTCATTATACAAATTTAATATTTTACTTCATTTTCAGTTTAGTTTTTTCAATAATCATGAAAATAGTATTAAATTAATAATTAGCTTTTGGGAGTTGCTGTTTTAAAAAATCAAATAAAATATAAATAAATATAATAAGCCTAATTTTAAACAATTTCAAAATATCGTATTTTAAGAAGGATTATATATTAAAACTTCAGTGTTTAATTCTTTTTCAATGCAAATCTTTCATAAATTCAAAATTAAATTCTTGAATTAGGTAATTTAGTTTTAGATTTAATCCTAATTAGAAACTTTATAACATTTCTAACTATGATAATTAATCACAATTCAAATACCTTTTTATTTTGATATTAACTAAATACCCTTTTAAGATTTTAAATAAACAACATTTGCTGTTACCTTTATGTTTTCAATCATGTTATCTATTTGCATAATGCATTAATTATCAACTAATAGTCTTATTATTAAAAATTTAATAGCTTAGTTTGGGATTATTCAAAATAACCACCAAGGCAAATCAAAATAATATCATTAACAAAGGATGAAGAATTAACATATTCAAGAGATTGTTCAATAATAAGAATGTACTACATTTTTAATCTCTTTTAATAATAGCGAAAAAATAAAAGGCATATATAATAGGAACTATGCTTTGACTAATTTATATTAAATTAAAAATCTTTAATGGTCAGGAATACATGGAGAGAATAATTAGAAGTTTGGTAAATGGTCTGTAAATTGGGCAGGAGAGAATTTAAACAATGTTGGTGGCTGGTACTCTAGTGAGGAGAAAAAATAGGGTTTTTGGAAGGAAATAAGTAGATAGTTAAAATTATATTCAATTGAACACAGCATTTGGAGTATACAACTAATTAAGTTAGAAGAATGGTAAATAGATTGAGCTGAGTGATTGATATAGATATAGGAAATAATCTATTAAGGTGAGTATAAAAATAGTCACAAAGTTGGTATGCGGGATATTTTATATAAAAAGGATAAAGATTTTCAGCAAATATTTATGTTATTAAACCAAAATTTTAGTGGTGATGGATAATACAATGATGAAGTTAAAATTGGTAGGTGGATTTAGTTAGGTGAAGGATTAGATTATTAGAACTAAATTATCTATGATGCCCAATATTAAAATGGAAAAAAGTTGAAAATTGGGTAGTTTTTAACAAAAAGGAAAAGGAAATATTAAAAAGATGTAAATATTATATATTCAAGCATTTAGTGGTGGTTGAAAATATAATGAAGAAGATAAAGTTGGGAGTTGGATTAAACTAAGTGATCTGTTTACTCCAGATTCACAAACCATTTATTATGGTGAATATAAAAATGGTAAAAAAGATGCTAAATGGTTTATGAAGTTTCTTGAGGATGAAAATTATAATAAATGTAAATACTAGTGGATTAAATTAAGAAAGAAATTTTGATTGGTAGTTGGGCTGAGTTGGGTGTTAGCTTTGGAGATTATTAATAAGTTATTTAAAATGGCGATTATAAAAATCGTTAAAATGTGTTAGATGGAATATTTTGATATAAGAGAATTAATAATTTATAATTATGTAAAATCTGAATAATGCATTATTTTAAGTGGCGGTAGTTAATATGATGAAGGAGTTTAGATTAGTTGGACTGAGTTGATTGATTGGTTAAAGGATTATTCAAAAATTACCTTTGCAGTTTGAGTATATAAATGGGTTGAAAGTTGGTCAATCGAATTTTTTTTTAGTTTGAATAAAAAAAAAGTTAAATTTATATAAGTACAGTGGCAGTTGATCATTTCGGCTGGAGTAAAACTTGGAAGTGGATTGAAAAGAGTGATGGTTTCTATTTTGTTTCATAAATCATTTAAATAGTGAGTATGAATTCGGTAAAAAGTTTGGTCTGTGGGAATTTTATTGGTATTGGGATGGAAAAAATATTTAAATGTTAGATTGGATTATTTGATATTAAAATACAATATATTTAGTAGTGGTGGATTCTATTTATGAAAGAGGTTAAATAAAAATGAGTATATGGATTGAGTAATACGTAAAGATAATTTTTTATTAGTATAAATAAGAAACTATACTTTTAGCGATGGTGGTCCATATAATGAAAAAGGTGATTGGAATAAAAAAGGAAGATGGATTGAATTGATAGAAGGGTTTAAATTCTTATTTAATGGAATTAACGATGACATTTATAGAGATGGATAGAAAGTTTGTAGGTGAATAATATGAATGAGGGAAAATTAATGTACTCTTTGAAATAATTTTTTTAGGGGTGGTGGATTATTTGATGAAGAGAGTAAAGGAATTAAGATTGGTTATTGGATGGAGTTGAGTGATGGCTAAGATAAACGGTCTTAGGTGATTCATGTTGAATATAGATATGGAAAGAAATTTGGTAATGGGTATATACTTGAATATAATACGTTAAGTTAAAAAATAATAAACAATTAAAATTAGAATAAAATTTATGTGAGCATTTATAATTGCCATTCATGAAAAAATATGCTAAAATTTATATTCAAAATAATCAAATGAATAAATTTATACAGAATGATACTTGAATTAATAAATTAAAAATTGAATATAATTTAACTATATTTCTATTTGGAAAGGCTTAATATACAAATAATTCAAATTATTAATATTTTACAATATAAAATAGAAACACCAGCAAAATTTTAAATAAAAAATATAAAAATCTCTATTAACTATATATTTTCAATTCATATATACTGAATAGAGCCTGATAAAATATTATTTAATTGATATACATTTGAGCTTTTGTTCAAAAGTGTAAAAATATATATATACTCTTCCATCCTTTATTGAATAAGTATAGATAAACTTATTCTATAGATTTTCTAGTTAAAATATTAAAAAATCTTTCTTGAAATAATTGTTTGAGGAATATGCCTTTCATAAATATAATTATTGAAAATCCAAAAATATTCTTAACTTATGAAATTAAAATTTTATTCTATCAGGTTCATTCAAATTTTAATGGATAGTCATTTGTTATACTTTTTTTATTTTGTTTTATTCAAAAGTTATTCTACATACATTATAATAGTTTTGGTTAAACTTAAGTAGCAGGCATGCATTTGAGATTTCTCGTTAAAAGAATTCTTTATTATTATTTGAGGAAGATCAATATTTTATTATTTTCATATTCTTCAATATCATTTTCAAATTACTTTTACTTATAATTAGTTCACTTCATTCAAGATCGTAAACTCATTCTCTTTTTTGTTCTCTTTCTTTGGTACTATCTTTTTAAGCGTCTTCATCAATTTCAAATATTTAAATTATCAAGTTATCATCATTAGTTATCACTAAAAATTAACAGATAAATAGAATCTTAATTAAATGAGAACATCTTACAAGAACATTCAACAAAAGAAAAAATGTTTCCATTTAGATATACCCATTTTCTATTTTTAAAGAAATAACTGGCTTAACAGTTAATCTATTTGATTTCTTACTACCTTAATGTTCAAAATAATTATTATACAGATTTCCTCCCAATAAATGACTCTGTTGTAGAACTAAATTTCCAAATTAATTAATATTTTATAATGAATGATATTCGTTAAATTTCACATAAGATACATAGTTTCTGTTTCATGGTGAAATTTATTTTCGAATAGTATTTTAAATGTAATATAATTAAAAGAAGTATTATTCTTAAATTTAAAAATAAATTATTGTAATAGCAATTAACAATTTTCCAGAATCTAATTTATACATAAGAAAAGGGGGATTTTTTAATATAAGATTGTTAAAAAAAACCAGAAAAATAATTGTAATGTTTTATAAAATACTTAATATCATTTTTATTATTATTCTATTTAACTTTCCAAAATATAACTTCCTTTAGATTTAAATAATGATCGTAAATCTACACCTTAATAATTCACAAATTCTCCTTTGAGAACAAAGGCTCCTTATGCTTAAAATATTGCCTTTTGGGATATACGGAGAATAGTAATATTAGTGTTTACTAGAGAAAATTGAAAAATAAATACCATCTTCTGGAAGAGGATTGTTTTAAAACAAGAGCGGTGTTTTAAATAAGGCTAGAGTATTTTGATAAAATTTATCAGTAGTTAGAATTTCTTCTCCTGTACTAACATTCCATAAGCGGATAGATTTATCATCGTTACGAGATGCTAATGTAGTACCGTCTTGGGAGAAACACACTTAAAGATTATGACCATGCAATTTTGGATATTATTATCCTGTTGTGACATCCCATAAACGGATAGAGTTATCTGCACTAGCTGATGCTAATGTCGTACTATCTGGGGAGAAACATACTGAATTGACACCTTATTCATGACCATCTAATTTTGATTTTTATTGTCCTGTTTTAATATCCCATAAACGAATAGAGTAATCATTGCTGCATGATGCTAATGTAGTACCATCAGGAGAGCAGCTTACTGAATTGATACAATTACTATGCCCATCGAATTTTTGTATTTAATGTGCTGACTTAACATCCCATAAACGTATAGAGTTATCATTACCCCCTGATGCTAATTTAGTACCATCAGGAGAGAAGTGCACTGATAGGACAGTATTACTATGACCATACAATTTTTGTTTTTATTTTCCATTATTAACATCCCATAAGCTAATAGAATGATCTGCACTACCAGATGCTAAAATAGTACCATCAGGAGAAAAACAGACGGAATTCACACAACTAGTATGACCATCCAATTTCAGTATCTTTTTTTTGGTTTTAACATCCCACAAATAAATATAGTTATCAGCACTACCAGATGCTAAAGTAGTATTATCAGAAGAGAAACATACTGAATAGAGATAACGATTATTGCAATCAAATTTAAAATTTTATTGTACCGTCTATACATCCCATAAATATATAGAGCTATCATTACTACCAGATGCTAATGTAATCCCATCAGGAGAAAAGCATACAGACCAAACTTAATTAGTATGACCTTCTAATTTTGCTTTTTATTATCCTGTGTTTACATCCCATAGGCGAATAGATTTATCTTCACTACCAGATGCTAATGTAATCCCATCAGGAGAAAAGCATACCGAGGAAATTTAATTAGTATGACCATCCAATTATGGCAATTATAGTTGTGTTTTAACATCCCATAAACAGATAGACTTATCACTACTACCAGATACTAATGTAGTACTATCATTAGAGAAACATAATGAATTGACCCAATCATCATGACACTCCAATTTTGATATTTATTGTCCAGTCTTCGCGTCCCATAAACGAATTTCTTAATAACTACCAGATGCTAATGTAATACCATCTGGAGAGAAGCATGCTGATAAGACTTAATCAACATGACCATCTAATTTTTGTTTTTGTTGTCCTGTTTTAACATCCCATAAACGAATGGATTTATCATTACTACAAGATGCTAATGTAGCATCATCAGGAGAAAAGCTTACTTACATGACATAATGTTAGTGACCACTAAATTGTAGTTTTTGATGTCCTGTCTAAACATCCCATAAACGAATAGAGAAATCATTGCTACCAGATGCTAATGTAGTATTATTATGAGAGAAGCATACAGATTGAATCCAATTACTATGACCAACCAATTTTGATTTTTATTGTCCTTTGTTTGCATCCCATAAAAGGATAGAGTTATCACAACTCCCTGATGCTAATGTGGCTCCATCAGGAGAAAAAATTACTGATAGGACTCCATCAATATGACCATCTAATTTGCATTTTAATTGTCCTGTTTTAACATCCCATAAACGGATAGACTTATCACTACTACCAGATACTAATGTAGTATTATCATTAGAGAAACATAATGAATTGACCCAATCATCATGACACTCCAATTTTGATATTTTTTGTCCAGTCTTCACATCCCATAAATGAATTTCTTTATAACTACCAGATGCTAATGTAATAATATCAGGAGATAAGCAAACTGATTTAACTCCATATCTATGACCATCCAATTTATTTGATTCATGTATTTTAATGTTGTTCCATTTACAATTAAATAATTATGCACCATTCAAATTCATCCCACTAATATCTACATTAAAAAATTCCGACCCGCTCAGGTTGCATCTTACAAAATTAGCTCCCACCAAAGAAGTATTGTAGATTTTAATATTTTCAAAATTTTATTTAGTAAGGTTAACCTTCATTTCAACTAATAAATTTAAAGAATTTGACCCACATTATATAAATGTATTTTCTATGGATGTAAGGTGAACTAAAAGTTTCAAAAATTCTATGATCTACTTTTTATCTCTTATTCTTTTCATTAGATCTTACCTAGATTCCTAATTTCCTTAAGTGGAATAGTCTATTTTATTAAAGAAATGATTCTTTATTTTTTTTAATACATTAATAATTTGTTAAATGTTATTTCTTACAACACACAACTTCTACTCCTTATCAACTTGTGTTAATTTAATTCCTTGTAAAACATAGTCTTCAAAATCTCTTTGATTTTCGCCAATTGAAATACATCCTATAATGTCTAAAATTTTCTCCTTTTTAAACATTTCAATTATAAAAATGAATAATTTTTCATCAATGTCTTTAATTTAAGTAAAAATCTCACTTAGATCTTGTTATTATTCATTAATGCTATTCATTTTCTTTTTATACAATAATTATTGAATTTCTAATAATTTAAATTAATTCTTATACTAAAAATTCAAAAAGTATCTTTAATATTTAAAACCAAGCCTAATATAAATTTTAATTTGAGTGTAATTGAAGATTTATTCTTTAAATATATTGAATAAATCATTTTTTATAAATCATTTAAATTAAATTAAGTATTATTTTAGCAGAGCTTATCAATAAAAAAGTTTGGGATAATTCTAGAATAATTGAGTTAATATAATTTAATATTAAATTAAAATTAACTTTTATTTTATCAGCCGCCTAGCAGGGTTAATAGAATAAGTTCTTGGCGGCGAAGAATTTGAAGTAATTAGGAGGGTTCATGAGCTATCTCATGTTATGCACGTAACTGAAAGATGTGTACATCTATCTTTCGTGCATTGAGTATCATGCGGGGGCCATGGATTGGATTGGATGGCCAAAACAGAATAAACTCT